TAATTATTCGAATTTATTCTACTACTTTCTACGCTAATTGGTAACTATAATACTAAGAGTAATATGATTGTAATAAATTTAACTACAACTTTCGATTAAGTTCTATTACCTTGTAGTTTATTATACGTAGTATTTGCGAATTACGCGTTTTGGCGTTGTTTTAATTTTCGGAAAATAGTTAATTCGGGTTGATCGGTTGATCCGGTGATCCGGTGATTCTCAATCTTGGGAGGCAACCGTACTACTTCAGCGATTGCCCAATAATTTTCTAATTTTCCAAAAGTAATCATTGGTGCCACCATTGGTGTTTTACAATCGGATTATTGTAATTTCTTAGTTTCGGTCAAATGGTCGATTTTGGTAATTGATGGTCGCCATCAAATTATCCGGAACAGTTAAAGTATCATTGAGCCGACGTTCCCTTATTGCCCATTAATTTGGAATAAATGACGTACATCACTCTCAACTTTATTTTTAACCACCTTTAAAATTTCATAAGAAGGACCTTCAAATGCTAGAGAATTTACAAATGATATCCAGAAATTAAATCGACAACTCTTTTTTAAATAAGCCTAAAAAGCAAAATTTGCCCAAATTTTACTTATAAAATTTAGGTGCGTTGCTCATTTGACTCCATATTAACACAAGATTTGCGTGACAAATTGGGCGCTTGATGAGAAAATTTCGCGCAATTACGTGTTCGTTGATTTTGCTTGTATACAGATTCCGTGATACTGATCTGAATTCTGTGATATATTTCGTGCTGACATGTGCACTCATGTGTAAAAATTTCTTATAGAGGGTCTTTGCAATATTTGCATAATACGTTTACAGCATTTATTCCATACTTTATAGCCCGTTCTATTATGACGGGCTCTAATAAGTTTTTAATTAATGCTACAAATGAAAAAAAACTTTGCATAAAGAAGTTTACAAGCTAATAAATACGCGCAAAAGAATTTATTAGAGAATAGATAGATACGCGTAAAGTGGGTAAATGTGATATTTACTTAT